TCTAAAATAATCAAATAGCGGTCATTCCGTTATACACTATCCCACTTTTTGGGCTGGCCGCTCTGCGCTGCTATCCGGGATTGACTACTTTGGTTATCTTCATTTGCTTGAATATGGCGTTGCTATTGCTTAGTTATTTGATAGTTCTATTTAGTTAGATCAGTGTTGTCAAATATTTGCCATGGTAGATTTAGTAGTGGATTGTTTTACAATTGTCATGGCCAATTTGTGAATGACTGTGGTGCTATCACTTTTAAGGTAGATTTTTGCTTTCTGTCATGGTTTGTCATCCGCAATCGATAACATTGATTTAAATTGGGGTGACGCATGTATGTACTCATGTTGGTATGGGTCTAGACAGCTCAATTTTGATTTGCCGGTCCGCATTTTGACTTTATGTTTTCGACAGGCTTTGAAAGCCTTTTGGGATAGTATTTTGTACTTGGTAAGTCATCGTGCGGATCACATGATTTAAAACCTAATCCAGCTCCAACAAGAGGAATGCCTTGTGATTTTACCAATTTGTTCATGTACATTAAACATGTTATGTGCTTTTGTTTCTGCTAAGTTGTGAACATATCTATTCTTGTGATTTGTATAATTGTATTATCTCCATCATTGTTGATTTCTGATGCTATGTTTGTTCGGTTTGGTTTGGGCTGGTATGGATCTTTTTATTGGTTTCTTTTGTTGTTAGTAGCAGTGTAATTAATATCGAGTGCTAGATCATAAGATCATAAAATGTTATGTGCTAAAGATGCCTGAGAGTGCTAGGATCAGAGTTTTTTGAAGCAAGATCGGTAAAAAAAAAAAAACGTGTTGGAGGTTTTTTTGTGCTTGTATTATAATTTGTGTTTTTGTGTATGGTTGTATATATATGTATGAAATTACTATTTTTCCCTTCGGTATGATCTTACGTGCCATGCTAACGATCTAAGTCTTACAATCTTTCACAAGACGACCGATCCTACTTAAGATCTCGTGCTTGACTACAATAACAGATAACAAATGTTTTAAACAATTTCTTTTATCTCTACGAAGAATCGGTATTGTTTTATGATTCAGAAATTCTCATGCAAAGTAGTTTTCTAACTTTAGGAGTTGGTTTTGGTCCTGGAATTCCTGGCATGCAAGTTGGTTTCGGATTTGGTGCTGGATGTGGTGTTGGTTTAGGATTTGGCTATGGCATAGGGAAGGGAATTGCACAAGATGAGTATAGAAGGTACTCTAATGTCGGAAATCCTTTTCGTGGTTCTGGAAGTCCTTTTCTGGGTGCTCGAAGCGTTATTTCAGAGTAAGTAAATCACATAATTTTCCTCATACTTTCCCTGTTTGGACTTAGGATAATCAATTTAGCTAATCGCTTATCATTAAGCGTTAAGCGTTTATGTACTATGAAACACTAACACCAGACACGACAGTGACTATGTCATGTTGACATGAGTGACAGGGACTATGTCATGTTGACACGAGTAATAGTTTGATGAAATAAATAAATTAAATGCAATCACATGTATTGGCGTCGTGTCGGTGTGTAACACGTACACATCTTTGATAAGAGATGTCGGTGTTATAGTTATGTATAAGCTATTTCTATGACAAAAAGATAGAGTCAAATTGTTTTCATCTTATTTTTAACATAACTTTAACATATTGTGTTATTTTCAGAGATGATATTACTGCACTTGTGGATGACATTGTCATAAACACTAAAAAGCTTATCAAGGCAACATCAAGAGAAATTGACAAGTGGAGAAGATGATGAAATAAACCATTAATTCTTTTCATGTAAATTGTATTTAACTTATATCTTTGCCGGTAATTTAGACAAAATCACGATAAACTTTTGGCGCATCAACGTAGTTGAGATTCGTCTATCGTTTAGCAACGCATTTGCACTCCACATCTGCGATGAATCAGAGTGAGTACTATACTATTTGTTAAGATCAAATATCTAAAGTTGTATTAAATATCTAATATGTGAAACATCTTGGTCATTGAATCAAAATCGGCCGGCCGATATATGAATGAAGTTAGAATATAAACCGTTTGATTTCAATGTAATGGTATAAGACTTTTGTGACTACAAACAACTGTGTTCCATTGGAATGCGGTTGTGATTTGTTCGATTTTTTAATGGAGATATCTAGGCTATTGAAGTTAGAATAAACAATCAATTTACAATTTAGTCCTTAAACTATGTTATTTTATCAACTTAATTCATAAGAGTTTTGAAGAGAGTTTTGCCATTTATTATAGTAATATGGTTCGAGAGATAGATAAAATGGCAAAAAAAACTACTATTTGACTGTTATTCAATAGTGTAAATTTAAAAATCGTTTTCGATCAGAAGTAATGAAATGCTACTACAATCATGTGGTAGTCATTATTTCAACAACTCTACAAAAAAAACAAGAGCCACAAATGAATGGCAGAAAAAAATCCAACAAAAAGATAAACCATGTTATCCAAACACAAGCAATCTCCAAACACATCAGCAGCATCATCTCACATGTATCAGATACTAACCAATCAAATCCATACATAGGATTACACATCCACAATCCAAACCAATCAAAAACCATGATCATGAATCCTACGTGTCATGTCTACATCCAGTAAACCATGCATCATATATACAAACCACCTCTCTATCTTCACATTGTGAATTCAGCAACACATTGATTCATCTGAGTTGAAGATTCCAAAAACATGGCTTCCATTGCTGCTTCAACTGCAGCTGCTTCACTTGGAATGTCAGAAATGCTTGGAAGTCAAATTAAATTCAGTGGTGCAACAAGGTCTGCTTCAACTTCCTCAAGTGTTTCTAGTTTTAAGACTGTTGCTCTTTTCTCGAAGAAGAAGGCAGCTCCGGCGAAGCAGAAGGTGGTTGCGCCGGCCAACGAGGAACTCGCCAAGTGGTATGGTAAGTCACCAACAAACTATGTTTTGATATGTCTGTTCATTTGTTGTGTTTAAAGCATAGTGTTGGACAAGGTTCTGTAAGGTATAAGGTTTGAAAACTAGTTGCTAAAACTCTTGGTTCTTGGTATAATTTGGTGGCAGGTCCTGACAGAAGGATCTTCTTGCCTGACGGTCTCTTGGACAGGTCGGAGATTCCCGAGTACTTGACCGGAGAAGTCCCCGGAGAGTATGTGACCTCTCTTTTGAAACCCTTTTAACTTTTTATATTGAAATTTTGCTTCTTATTTTGCTTAATATGTTTTTATTTGTATCTATGCAGCTATGGTTATGATCCTTTTGGTCTAAGCAAGAAGCCTGAAGACTTTGCCAAGTATGTCTAAATATTTCAATGCATCAATTGTGACTAATAGTTCGCCACAATTCAATTCAGTTGCCAACTATCTGTCATAGTTCAGTTTTCTTTTGGTTTTCTTAACTAGTACTAAGATTCAATTTTTTACCATGTCAGTTTTGTTAATATTAGAAATTTGGTATGATTTAGTTCACAAATTCGGTTAGGAAAAATAAATTTCGATTTCAAAAAATATTTCGGATGAATGCAGATATCAGGGATATGAATTGATTCATGCAAGATGGGCAATGCTTGGTGCTGCCGGATTTATCATTCCCGAGGCATTCAACAAATATGGAGCCAACTGTGGTCCCGAGGCTGTTTGGTTCAAGGTATGCAAACTCTAAATAAGTGTTTTACTTAATGCTCGATTTGTGCCTCGATTCGGTATAAAGTTGAATCTCTACTGAGTATCTATTCTGGACAGGAATCTACGTTATAAGCCAATTTTAATTTAATTTTCTTATATAAATGAATGTAGACCGGAGCACTTCTTCTTGACGGAGGCACGTTGAACTACTTCGGTAAACCAATCCCCATCAACCTTATTCTCGCAGTTGTTGCCGAGGTTGTTCTCTTGGGAGGTGCTGAGTACTACAGAATCACCAATGGACTGGTATGTAAACATTAGTATTATTTATCAAGTAAACAATCATTTTGGTTTTGTTTCATTAGTACAACTTAGATGGTAGTTGCAGACACATTCGATGTATTGGGGAGCGGGTTCGAACCCTCGATTTCCCCACTTCTACACACTTAATTTGTGAAATTCTCGCCCCTAGGCTAATTGACAAGAGAAATCGTCGCTTTAGTTCTTAAATGTTTGAGCCGTTGTCGCTATAATCTTTGACGTATCGAGATTAACTAACAAAAAACACATTCGATAACCAAACTAACTATTGAACGATGCATTTAAGATAAGAAAAAAATGCATCGTTCACTAAATTTGTAACAAAATATTTGAGAAATTGGTTTACAAATTGTTACCTATTTTTGACAGGACTTGGAAGACAAGCTTCATCCAGGTGGTCCATTCGACCCATTAGGTCTAGCAAACGATCCCGACCAAGCTGCAATCCTAAAAGTGAAGGAGATTAAGAATGGCAGACTCGCTATGTTTGCCATGCTTGGTTTCTTCATTCAAGCCTATGTCACAGGAGAAGGACCAGTTGAGAATTTCGCGAAACATCTCAGTGACCCTTTTGGCAACAATTTGCTCACTGTCATTGCTGGAAATGTTGAGAGGGCTCCAACTCTGTGATGAATCAAATCATTTTCATGCTTTTTTTTTTAATCGAATCTTGAATGTGTACAATACATCTCACTGAAGGCATTTTGCTTTATTTAATCGAAGCAAACTCACTCTTCATTTTTACTGCATGATGATTAGTTCAGTCGGTAATTTAGACTTTACATTCTTGAAAACTTTCCGATTTTCTTCATCTGATTAAATAAATATTTACCTCAAAATCTAATTGGCAGAGCCGTCTCAAGTTTATACCATCCCTGCGTTAGTTAGCCAAAGTTTAACTCTGACAAAATAAATAGAAGTTTTATTTAACCATAATTTAACTGCGATAATATTTTGTAAGATACTATCTTAGACCCTGAGCGATAGCACGTCTTGCATGTCCTCAAGCACAGTCCTGCTACCTGGAAATAATGTACAACAACATGAATTTGTTTAAGTCGCCACACTTGTAGCTTGAAAAGCTCCATTAATCAGTTCTGTTTTTATCAACTCCAATATTTTAAAAACCTGTTGAAGGTCAGAACAATTAAATCAACTTAACATGTTCAATAAAAATGATGTATAAAAGATGAAGAATGTTTAGTTTTTCACCTCAAAGTGCTGCTTCAAGGCTGGTGCATGCTGATGAAGGGTTGCATATATCCTCTCAAGTAATGTCAAAAGTGCATCCACTTGATCTCCAAGAAGATCAACCTAGATTTCAAACATACAATCTTTAGTTTTTAGGTATTTTCATATAGAAAAATGATATTTTGACTTTCAGAGCCGACTCAAATTTTTGAAGGTCTTGCAAAAATTAGTTGTAGTCTAATCAGGATAAAACAAATAGAGACTTTCTTTAACTTCAATTTAACTTTGAGAAATACTTTATGAATTTATTTAGTCATTGTTTAACTGTGACTAATTTTGAGTCATGTGCAGTAGTCCGTCTTAAAGACGATCTTGATCGTACATATATTGTTCGCTAGAGACACGACATAAACAAACGGTTTTAAATTTTTTACCTCTTCAAGACACCTCGACTAACAAAATGTTGGATATCATATAGTGTTAGATATGCAATGTTAAGATAAACACTGCTCTTTCATATGATACAAACTTGATTATCATCTAAATAAGATAAAACTTACTAACTAAAGACACAATCATATATTAGGTTAGTACTGACTATATATTGTGTGGAGTTATGCAACAAACCTCAGCTTCAGCATTTTGGAGATTCTGACATCTTCTAATGAAGGCCTTTTGGTAAAGTAACTCATTTCTTCTCAAACAATCAACTATCTTAATGATCGAATCCACGCAACATTTCATCTTTTCCAACCTATATGCATATTTTTCCAAAAATTTAATATAAGAATCATGCATTAAATAATATGCATACTATAAATATCAGTCAATGACGGATGACAAGATAGATTTGGATTGTCGGCTATCAAAATTTCATTGATTCACGTAGTCAGCATATCGGTAACAGTTGGATCAAGAATGGACTATACATATTTAAAACTCATTAATATACTGATTGCGTGAATGCATGAGATTTCAAGAGCAGACAATGCAAATCCGACACATACCTCATAGTCAACATCTCCAATTTTTGATATACTGTAACCTCAAATTCTACTAATGTTGTAGGTTCAAAAGAAGGCACCTTCAGTTGTTCTTGTTCATTATCAAACATTTGACGATGAAAACTTTTCGAGTCACGAAGACTATGTCCTAAGCTTGCCCCTAACTCCTTTAAAAGTGCTTTACCTAAACCTAATTGTTGCAAACCATTTTCTACCTTACTTGTTAGTGAAGAAAAGGTTTGTTCTTCTCCGGTTATCAAATCTTCAAATAGTTCATACTCGTGTAGGTCACCACGTTCTGAACCTAAGTCGAGTTGTTTGCTATGTTCTTTGATCTCAGAATGTGCACTTAACATTAGATTCTCCTCGGCTTCAAAACAACCAAGTAGAGACTCTAACAATATAATTGTCAAATTCTCATGCCCTTGAAATTTTTGCACTTGATTTAATACCATAGTAGAGAAATTCTCTTGTATCTTGATGTTTTTTCTATGATGAGAATTTGAAATATTGACAAAAACTTCCAATGTTTCTTCAAACACAATTTGATCTATTTGTTCTCTTATTAAATTTTCAACTTTGCAATTTGTCACCATTTTGTTGAGTTCTTCAATAGTTTTCTTAACCACAAGCATGCATATATCTTCCTTTATGGTTCCTTCTATTTCATCTTCCAAATTTTCCTTAGCTAAGACAAACTCATGATTGGATTTGACATCCTTAATTGCCTCAAAAAAGACAATAAAATTTGTGTCTTCTCTAATTCTCCTTTTGATTTTGTTTGTCTCAATTTTTTCATTCAACTCATTCATCCGTTCTTTCAAGTAACATTTATGTACATTCTCTTGTATTAGCTTCTCAAACTCAACCTCATCTTCTTGTGAAGATAACTTCTTCCTTTCCTCAAAAAAGACAATAAAATTTGTGTCTTCTCTAATTCTCCTTTTGATTTTGTTTGTCTCAATTTTTTCATTCAACTCATTCATCCTTTCTTTTAAGTAACATTTATGTACATTCTCTTGTATTAGCTTCTCAAGCTCAATGTCATCTTTTTGTGATGATAGCTTTTTCCTTGGAAGTGTTTCCTTGAGATAAATAGCTTTTTTGTTGAAAAGAGATTCACCTTGTTTCTCATTCATCATTTCTTTAAAGTAGCATTTATGTACATTCTCTTGTATTAGCTTCTCAAGCTCAATCTCATCTTCTTGTGATGATAACTCTTTCCTTGGAAGTGTTTCCTTGTGATGAATAGCTTTTTGGTTAAAAAGAGATTCACCTTGAATCTCATTCCTTTTTATAAGATTATCAAATCTTTCACTTAGAATATAAATTTTTTCTTTTACGATGCTTAGTTCCTTTTTTTTTCTTGACGATGATGCTTTTTTCTGATTTTTAATCCGATTTAGTTCTTCGTTCTTTTGTCGAATAATAGATTCATGACTCTTGATGATCTTAGCAACTAAACTTTTCTTTTCATTCTCTTCCTCTTCTTGTAACTCTCCCTCCTTATGATCTTTTTCTTCCGACTTTGGCGGAAATTTATGAAATGCTTCATGAGTTCCTTCTTCCGACGAAGATTTTGTCGGGGAAGAAAGCGCAGAAGAATCATATTCATCAGGAAATGAGTCATGCATGGTGATTAGTTCATTCTTTAATCTTGTAAATTCATTCATCATTTGTGACCAATGCTCTTGCCAACATTTGTGAGCACGATTCTCATTCCTTCTAGCTTCTACCTTGTCCAAGTTGTGAGATTTTAGACAAAAAAAAGTAAGAAAATAATAACAAATTTGAAGATTATTAGAATAACTTGATACAAATGACTGAATTTCAGTCATTTAGAAATTTAAATCTGAGATCTCGAACGAGTACATTCTGAAATCTCAATCATTCATCAATCAACTAACCACTAAATTGTTAACCTAAAATTTAATCATAAAAGATATTATAAAATATTTTATAATATACATACGTACCTCAATATTCTCTTGGAACTCGTTCATGAAACTAGAAATTAATATAGAAATGATATATTTTTCAATCTTCAACTTCCATTGCATTTCTTTTGGCCTCATCTCACATGAAAAAAGAGCACTTTGCATCTTACAAAAAGCAAGATCCATAGTTTGCTTCAATACATCAATATCCGAACCCATCTCTTCAATCTTTTTTGTGTCATTCACAACCACATTATGTGTTTGTGTTACCACATTTTCAACCATGTCAAGTTGTGGCTCAAGTCTTTGTTTAAATTTCAACATTTGTTGATCCATGCTACTCCTCAACTCACCTAACTCACCATCACTCCTACCTTTGTTCTCACTAGTTGTTTGATTTTTCTTCAATCTTTGTGACAACTCTCTATCCTTCTCCGAAATAATCAATTCGGATTCCTCCAAACGTCCTTGAAGACGATCCTTTATTTCTCTCAAGTCGTCGAGTAGTTTTTTGTGATTGCTTTCGAGGCAACTACTATCGGTCTCGGTGTGGACAATGGTTAGACAACCTTCAAGTTGCATCACTGCCAATTCATAAAATTTTGATATCTCATTCAATCTTTCGAGAACTCCGGTTTTTGTTTTCATTTTCTCTTGAGCCTTGTTCATGGCGCGATGAACTATTGACATCATTGTTGAATCTGTTAATGATACTTCAAAATTTCCATCCATGTATCCGAAAATTTCATCCATTTCTTCACCAATAATTCACAAGAGACAATTGGCTCTAACTTTATTATGAACAAATACAATAATGATGGTAAATGCTAGGAAAAATTGCAAGTCATTTAGAACGTGAGTAGATTAATTAGATTAGACATTTCCACTAAAATTGGATATTTGAATTGATCTTTTCAATTACTTTCTTGGGTAAGCACTTATTAAGGCATTCTTTAAGGAATATTGTATGTGACATTTGAAATACTTGTAGTTTTGGGGGCTAAGTATGGGAAGAGATGTGAAAAGTAACATTTTTAATTATTGTTCATAGGCATGAAGCCCAACCCTCTTTTTATTTAGAGGGTTAAATACGAGGGGGTGTGTGAAAAGTAATAATTTTGATTATTATTCAATATGCATTAAGTTAATGTTAAGTTTATAGGGTTTCTTAATGCACCTTACAGTGTTGAAAATTATCCTATAAAAATTCAAAAATGTCATTCTAATTCTGAAAATGTATTTTCGAACGAATTATTTTCACAACAAAACACATTTTAATTGAGTCACCCTAAATTCATTCGAAAACGAGGACAAAAAATTTCGAAAAAAATAATAAAAAAGCTACATATTCCTTATAGAAAAAAAACTCATTGAACTTTACCAAAAATGCATTTTAAGAAAATTTCAGAAATACATTTTCGGAATAAATTTAGTTATAAAATTAAAGTGTTATTCATAAACAAATGTATTGTGTGTGTTTAGGGTGCGTCTAAAAATATATTTCCAAAAACTAGAAATATTTTTGCATTTTCGTGCGGTGCGTTAGAAAAGTATTGGGTGCATTAAAAAATTCCCTAAATTCATATTTTGTTAATGTCAAGTTAATGTTAGGTTTATGTTTGCACCTATGCTATTTTTATCTGTCCTAATAAATAAAAATTTAGATTAGCCTTCTAGATTTTTCTATAAATTTGGTTGCACATGCACCCCGTATCTCTTAAAGGCAATTTCTTTTTCCATCCTTATGGTGAGAGGCACATCTCTTACAATATCAAAATACTTTTGGTTTTTCGGAGATACATCTCCAAACGCACTAAATTCTTTTTTTTTGTCAAAATTTAGTTCGAAGATGCAACTGCGAATTTTTCTAAGGTTAATTCGCAAATACGTCTTCGAAAATATACCTTAAGTCATTTCACAACAGTTTCATTAAGATAGTTTATCATTTAACTACTCAGTAATATTTTCGAAATGTATCTTTAAAAATCTCCAACGGGAAATTGAATATATGATCACGTTGCATGATCATTTCTCTCACACTTTAAACCTCATCCATAACCAAAAACCTTTTTTAAATAAATTCATTTTCAACCAACTTTCGATTCCACACCAACATTCTTGGATTTTATCACATCAAAGGAAGCAAAAAAGAAAAAGATGCAATTTAAGGTAAAATTTACTCATTTCATCATTTATTGTTTGCATTAACCTTGTTGTAGAGCTGAAAAATGTATGTCACATCCGAATATACATATCACCTTCCATACTTTCAGATTTGTATATGCGAAATTTCATGTTACTATTTTAAAGCATTTTTCTGTTTTGGTTCTTATTAGATATGGTGCACCCGGATATGTTTCTAAAGTTAATGTAAGTAATGATGTAAAACTGGATGTAGTGAATGATGATGTTAAGACGGAGGAAGTGAAACATGATGTTAAACTAGATGAAGTGAAGGATGATGTTAAATCGGTTCTTGTTGAGATTGATGTTGGTCAATATTTTAAAAATGAACAACTATTTACTACTCGTGAACATATGCTTCAAGGGGTCTGTATGGTATCCAGGAATTCAGGGTTTGACATTGTAATCGGAAGGTCCGACAATGATTTAAATAAAAGACAACCATTTGTAACCATGAGATGCGAGAGAAGTGACATGTATGTTCCTCCAATTAGGAAGTTGAAACGTGATGATACCGGAACAAGAAAAATGTGATTGTCTCTTTAAATAGCGCGAATATTGTAAGGTGGATGAAATATAGAATTTTAATGTGATTTAAACATGATGCCTTGAAAATAAAGGTAGTCAGTTATCCCATCGTATACCGCCTTTAACCAGAGGAGAAGGAAATATTTTCGGATATGTCTTTAATCAGAGTGGCGTCGAAAAACATACTTGCAGATTTTAAACAAAAATAACCACTAAATGTTTGAAATATCAATCATGTATACAATATGTGTTATCAAAACAACATGGAGATAAGGGATCCAAGATCATAAACCCAATAACTTTTGAAACTTTTGGATGAAAATCCATATGTTTCTAGATACACAATTCATGAGGGTAAAGTCATTGTTCGTGACATATTATGCACTCATCCCAGAAGTATTAAGCTCTTCAACATATTTACCTATGTCGCCATTATCGATTCAACGTATAAGACCAACAGGTATATGCTTCTGGTTCTTGAAATTGTTGGTGTTACTTCTACGCAAAAGACTTGTTCAATGGGATTTGCATTTTTGCACTACAACAAAATACACCTTCAGTGACACTATATTACCACGTTCATTTATCCACCGTAGTAATATCACATTTTTTACGCACATGTTTTTTTATTTTATTATGAAACTCTCATCACGGTTCCTATAAAGGACCGTGGTCATATATTTTGAGTGACAAGCTTCAAATTGCAACATCAATATTTTATTTTTACAATAAAAATAAGCTTGTGTCCTTTATCATTTATTTTTAGTAAAAATTGAAAGTATAACAACTACGGTGTTTCATTCAATCATGGTTATAAGTTGCATATACCGCTATGGTTGGAGCTTGCAACCATTGTGAAATTTTATCCCACAAAATTAAAACATAACAAGTACTTTACTATGTTTATAACATACATGGGTGTTGTTATTATAGTAAAGAAACAATCAAAAGTAAGTATCTTTTTTTTGTTTAATCGTCTCCACAAGGATTAGTGCGCTATCAATACTGTTCAACAGTCGCTACCTCTTTAAGCTTGGGTGTGCAAGTTGTTTACATGTAGAAAGTATAGAATGTAAAAATGAAAAATTAAAGTTTCAGAGAGAAGACAACTTGTCAGGATTGTATTCCATCTTCCATAAGAATATGCATTTTTACCAATCAGTTGTAACAATCTAAGCATTCATCAATACCACCATGCATCGCTCACAATAACGTTTATGTCTAAACATCTATTGGGAGTTGAACCTTTTAATTAACGATGTCTCGGCTCATTAAATGGTTCCTCCCTTATTGTTTAATCGACGATGTTCAACTCATTAAACAATAAGGAGCATTAAGATTTGATATTCTCTGTGAATGTTAGCCTAAATCTATGTCTAGAGTTTAGAATCTAACAAATGTTCATCTTAGTTCGAGTTTCGAACCATATTTGTCAATAACAATCTGAACCCATTAAGATAAAAGGTAAAACAAATATAACAACGATATAGATTCACATATAAATTGTACATAACACCATGATTAACAAAAATACATACTAAAATAGTATACTTACATACAATCCCAACAAGAGAGGGGGTTTAACTACTTAACATAGAAAAATACAAAGATAAGAAAGAAGATGAACAAGCCTCAACCTTGATGTCCCAACAATCGACACAAATCCAGCTTCTAATCTTCAGGATGCACCCTCACTTGTTGATTTCTATGCCTCTCACTCTCCAAAATTGTGGTGTTCTCTCTAAAATCGAAACACACTGAAAATGGTGAAACCCCTCTCCTAAAATTGGGTCACCCCATAAAATATATGATTTAAACTATATTTATACACTTTCAAAATTGTAGAATGCACTTAGTCTCGTCAGAGCGCGCTAAGCGCGGTTCCACTTGAAGCACCAAATCGCCTTAAACTGCACTAAGCACCCAATTTGGTGCTTAACGCGCTCACCCCTGTCCCCAAAATTTCCATCATGCTAGGAGGGAGCTAAGCGCGCTCTTATGTACTAGGAAGGTTCTAATCCCCCTCTATAGGACAACTTTTTCTCCAAAATTGCATATTGAAGCTTTATTTGTGCCCTATGATGCCCAATACTTCAACCATGCAAAGAATCCTACATGATAAAACTATAAAGCTTTTATTTACATTAAAGTTGAGGTTTTGGCTTATTAATAAAAGGAATAAAGTTAATAAGTTCCACAAAATACTACTAATAATAACTACAATTTGTCACTTATCAACTCTCCCCAACTTAAAACTTTGTTTGTCCTCAAACAAAAGTCTCTCCAACCTAAAGAAACAAAAGCAACATCCAAGAAACTATGAATAAATTGTTTTTGAGAAACGAAAACAAAAACATGGTTCAAAATCAAAAGCACAAACAAATCAATGCTTACCACTATACTACAACGACACCACGAGCATGAAACAAATTCTAAGCATGAAACTCATGTAAAAAAATCTAAGACAATACATGTTCAAAAATGATTCACACCTAGCACACAACTTCATCGGTAGATGAAAAGTAAACATGAGGGACTTGACTCTTATCAAATAATCTTTCTAACATCCAATTAAATTATGCATTCATCCAAAAAAATCATCTTGAAAAGCATAAAAGCATAAATCACAAAGGACTTTCAAGGATTGTAATGTGGCTTGGGTAACAAAGAAGGGTCATATCTAAAGGTTTTTGAAACAAAATTGTTTAATCCTTATTAGAGCAGTCACTTCCCATATTTTCAAACAATAAAAATTTTTATTCACCCTTTTCTCTTTCCTCATTTGTTACAACCTTGATATTTCTTTTTTTTTTCTTTTCTTTTTCAACAACTTTATTTTTCCAACCTCTTAGAAACCAACCTTTAAGCAACCAATCATTTTTCTCTCCAAATTGAATACAACAAAACATCGTGACATGAATGCTCCCAAACTTTCTAAGACAAGGAAAAATTCCAACCACAATATATGATTGATGGTTCAAGTGTTTTAGAAATAAAATTAGAATCCATGATAAACTACTTACTCATGCACAAGTTCACAG